ATAAAAGAAGATCAAAGGCTGCTGGGATTCCATCCATGTGGTAGAAGTGCAGGAGAAGTCCAGTGGCCGCAACGCCCACTACAAGCTGACCTCCACAGTGATGCTCTGGCTGCAAACCAACAAGTCTGGCTCGGGCACCATGAACCTCGGCGGCAGCCTCACCAGACAGATGGAGAAGGATGAAACTGTGAGTGACTGCTCCCCACACATAGCCAACATCGGGCGCCTGGTGGAGGACATGGAAAATAAAATCAGAAGTACGCTGAATGAGATCTACTTTGGAAAGACAAAGGACATCGTCAATGGGCTGAGGTCTGTGCAGACTTTCGCAGACAAATCAAAACAAGAAGCTCTCAAGAACGACCTGGTGGAGGCTTTGAAGAGAAAGCAGCAATGTTAAACCTCTGCTTTGCGCTAAACAGCCACGCCATGCCCTCATTAGGTTCCTTTCTTAGAAAACTCATTTTCTGCTCCCTGTCCCTGCCCGCCCCAACAGGTCACATAACAACTTGCATCATCGACCTACCGCACAGCGCCATCTCTCCCTGCGCATAAAGCCCGATAACCACCCTGTCTGGCTCTGAGGCCTGCTTCCCACCACGTTTTGCTATCGAAACTCTCGGTATTTCCATAGAAACCGTGTGTTTTTTGTTCGCCTGGGCCCCGTCTCCCCCCACCTCCATTTATCGGCATAAAAAACACTGTCAGCCGCCCCTCCTTCCCACCTTTTTGTTACATTGGTGTAAAAAAATGTAAACAAAAAAATTTTATGAATTAACTGTGGTGTGTGAAAGATAGAAGAAAAATTGATTCCATGTGTGTTTGGGAGTTGCTTGGGGTTGGGGGTCGGGGTCCGGACGGGCAGCTCTGGAGGAGGGAAAGCCGGCCCTCAGCGATGCCCTGTCCTGCGCAGACCAGACCCGCCCGGCCCTGCGCAGCCGCAGCCCACAGGGAGGGGCGGCGTCCTGCTCTTGTGGCCAGGTGCTTTTCTGTCAATTTTTATGGAATGCAAAAGGAGTTTTTTGTTTTATTTTGTTTTTTTTGTAAAGCTTAAAAAAAATAAATCTACATCTTATATAAAAAAAAGAAAAGATTGAATTAGGAATAAAGTGTCCCAAAAAGACAATGCTGAACCTAAATGTGGAATTTTACTGAACTTTTTTTTTTTTTTTTTTTTGCGAAACCAGGGACTGAACTCAGCTGTTTGCACTTGCCAGGGAAGCACTTATTCTACTAAGCCATCTCCCCAGCCCCTTTACTGAACTTTTGTAGAAGAATTAATGTCAGTTCTTCTCAAATTATTACAAAGAATTGAAAGGGAGGGAACTCATTCAACCCATCCAACGAGGCCACTATTACCCTGATGCCAAAACTAGATGCCAAAAAAGTAAAAATACACTAATGTCTCAGATGAACACAGATGTGGATGTTCTCAATGAAATTCTAGCCAATCAAATCTAATGGCACATAAAAATGATTAAACATCATGATCAAATGGAATTTATCTCAGGAATCAAAGGATGGTTCAAAATATATAAATCAATAAACAATATATCACATCAATGGAATGAAGGACAAAAACTATATGACCATCTCAATAGATGCAGAAAAAGCATTCGATAAAATTTCAGCATCTTTTTATGATGAAAATCCCTCAAGAAGTAGACTTGGGAGGAATATGCCTCATAACAATAAAGATTACATATGACAAACTCACAGCCAGCATAATAATAAATGGAGAAAGGCTGAAATCATTTCCTCCAACATCAAAAACAGGATAAAGTTGTGTTCTCTACTACTTTTTTTTTTTTTTTTTTTTTTTTTTTGGCAGAATCTCACTGTGTAGTTTAGGCTGGCACTGAACTTAATGTGTAGCCCAGGCTGGCCTTGAGCTCGTGGTAATCCTCCTGCCTCAGTCTCCCAAGTACTGAGACCACAGTCATGTATCGCCACCACCAGATTCTCTTTATTACTGTTATTGAATGTAGTCTTGTAAGACTTCGTCAATGCAATAGAGCAAGACAAAGAAATAAAGAACATCCAAGTGCAAAAGAAGAGGGTCACTTTATGCTTTTTGTGGATGATATAGTTTGGGGGTGGGAAGTGGGGACAGGATCCCGTTATGTTTCCTATTTTTCCCAGGCTGACCTTAAATTAACAATTTACCTGCCTCAGCCTCCAAAGTAGCTGGGACTATATGAACATGCTGTCACACTGGCTAGATGACAAGACTTACAAGTAGAAAAAAAATGGAGAAATCCAAATCAAAACCACACTGAGATTCCGTCTCACCACAGTCTAAATGGATACCAGCAAGAACACACACAGAAAGAATCCTAATGCTGGTGAGGGTGTGGGGAGTAAGGAACCCTTCAGCACTGCTGATGGGCAGTAAGTTAGTGTGGCCTCTATGGCAGTCAGTGTAGAAGGTTATGGCTTTATCTGGATATTCCCACAAAGCCTCACGCAGAAGGGCTTTTGTGAGTAACTGGATTATGGGTATGATACCAGATTAGTCTACTAAGTGGCTTAGCATAATTCTGGATGTGGGTGGTGGATTTACTAAAGAGAGAAGACCCAACAAGCAGGCAGGTGGCATCAGCCAATAGGCTTGCAGTCTAGATGGAATAAAAAGGGAAAGAAGGAAGGCTCACCACTTCCTACCTGCTGTACCATGAACTGTTTCTCCCCTGCCGCAACTCTCCCCCATGCTGTGCCAGCTGACTATGGGCTGAGACCTCTACAAACTGTGAAGTAAATAAACCTTTCCTCTTTAACATGTGTGTATCAAGTATTTTGTTGCAACAGTAGGAAAGTAACTAAGATAGGAGGTTGCTCATAAAGCTAAAAATATACCTACCATTTGATCCATATATACCACTCCTTGGTATAGACCCAAAGAAATTCAAATCAGCATACTATAGGGATTCTGACATACCTTTGTTTATTGTGGCATAACTTACAATAGCCACCATATGGAATGAGTCTAGGTTGCTCACTGACAAATGAAGTGGCAAAGAAACTGTGGTATACATACACAATGGGATATTAGGACAAAATTCTGTCATTTGCAAGACATGGTTGGATCGAGAGATCCTGGGCTGAGTGAAATCAGCCAGACTCAGGAACACAATATGTGAAATCTAAAAAAGATGACAAGAAAACAGAAGAGAGTTGGGGAGGTAGCTCAGTGATCTAAGTACCTGCCTGGCAAGAACAAGGACCAAAGTTAGATCTCCAGTACAGGATGTTGTGTCAGTCCTGGAACCAGGCGTGGTGGTACATGCCCATGATCCCAGTGCTGGGGGGGGCGGGCTGAGACAGGGGGATCATTATGAGTCTGAACCATGTAGTGAGACCCTGTATCCAATAAATAAATAAATAAATAAATAAATAAATAAATGACTATTAGACAGGAGGAAAAGGAATGAAGAGGGAAGGAGAGGGGTGTAGTACTGTACAGTTCATAGGAGGAGTGGATATGAACAAAATACATTATACACATTGAACCCTTCTGCAAAAAAATTGAAACTAGAGTGGCAGGCATGACAAGAGGGATGGCAGGGGATGAAATAATCAAAATATATTATGTACATATATGAATCACCAAAATAAAACCAATTAATTTATAAACCAATAAAAATGAGTGAAAGGAAGAAATCATGAAATAAAATAATTTTTCTTCAAATATAAGACCGTATATCGGATTCATGTTCATATAATGTGAGAAATATATTTATAAAGCAATTTTACAAAGAAAAATCTGAAGAATTCACCCTAAAACTATTAGAACTCATAGACAAATTTGGTAAGTTTTCAGAATATTAAAATATACAAGCCAGGCATGGTGGCACATACCTATAATCCTAGCACTTGGGAGGCTGAGGCAGGATGATAGTTGTGAGTTCAAGACCAGCCTGGGCTACAAAATGAACACAGGGCCAGCATGAGCTGCATAGCAAAAACCTGTCTGAAAAAACAAAGGGCGGGGGGAACACATCCTATATTAATGACCCAGAAGAATGAACATAGTTAAAATGTTCAAGGACTGGCCAGATAGCTCAGTGAATTAAAACACCTGCTGCTTAGGCAGACACAGGGCCAGGGGTTCAATCCCAGGCGTGTTGTGCCAGCCTTGCTCCCAGGGCTCACTGAGATGGGCATTGAGACTGGACTTGGTGGTTCACTCCTGTAATACTAGAATTTGGGAGGCTGAAAACAGGAGGATCGCTACAAGTCTGGTCTGTGTAGTGAGACCCTGTACTAAATACATTAAAAAAAAAAAAAAAAAGAAGAAGAAGTTCATAGTACTTGGTGCAGTCCAAACATGCCATGCAATACCCGTCAGAACAGCAATGACACTGCACGTACGGCAATACAGCCCTGTGACTCCAGCACTTGGGGAGCCCAAGGAGGGAGGGCTGCAAATCTGAGCCCAATCTGGACAATTTAGAGACCCAGGTATCATTTAGTGGATATCATTCAGTTCAATGCCAGTTCTGGGATAAAAGTGACATACAGAACCATAGAATTTCTGTAATATCCAAAACACCCCTGAACAAGAAAGTAAAGTAGGAGGCATTACAATATATGACTTCAGAGCTGGGGAGATAGCTCATCAGCAAAGTGCCTGTCTGGCAAGTACAAGGTCCTGAGTTCGAGTCCAAGTACCCCCCACACAAAAATCTGACTTCAAAATATTACAAAGTAGCCATGGTGGTGCATGCCAGTAATCCCTGCACTCAGGAGGATCATTATGAGTTCAAGACCAACCTGGATTACAAAGTGAGTTCAAGACAATCTGAACTGCATAGCAAAACCCTGTCTAAACAAAAAAGGCTGGAGAGATAACAATGCATTAAGTGCTTGCCTGGCAAGCACAAGGTCCTGAGTTCAATCCCTGGTATCGAAAAAAAAAAAAAAAGATTAAAACAAAACCAAAAAAACCCTACAAAGTAATAGTAACCTAACTAGTATGACACTGGTGTAAACAGACACATAGGCCAATTGAACACAATAAAGAACCCAGGAACAAACCCATGTATTTAAATTCAATGATTTAAAAATAATCAATGGCTGTCTCATTGCTATCTGTTTATCAATAAAACTTTGAAAAAAAATAAAATAAAAATAATCAATGGACATCGCTGTTTATCAATAAAATTTTGGAAAAAATAATCAATGGAATGAAAAGGGAACTTACAGAATGGCAGAAAGTATTTTCAAATTACTCATCCAATAAGGGATCAAATTGTGGGGTATTAAGGAACTCAACTCAAGCAAAAAAAATCAACATCCTCCTCACAATCATCTAAGCTTTGAAATGGGTGAATAACCTGAATAGATATCTCGAAAGAGGACATAAAAGTGGCTAATAAGTACGCGAAAAAATTCTCAGCATTACTAATCATCAGGAAAAGCAAATCAAAACAACAATGAAGTATCATTTTGAAACAGTGAGAATGGCTA